AAATGAAAAAAACCTGGTCGTGATTGGATAAACTTTTAGAAATAAAAAATAAAAGCAAAAGTGCAAAACAGCTCTTCGTAAACCAATTCTTGCTTTTCTGTTTTTTTTTTTTTGGGGGGGGTATTATTCTTGCTTTTCTTTTGAACTTAAGACACCAAAGCTATTGGTTTTTATTGGAGACCAGATCTGCTCCTCACATATAACGCCTCACAGGCACCTCACACGCACATCCCATCACCTTTTATTGTCTCTCTCCCTTTCTCTTTCATACTATACTGATCCAGACAGTTCGTAATCCTGTCAATCCGTGGCTTTTAAGACGGAATCCACTCCTTACAAATGGGCGTCTCACATGCACATCCACAGTGCATTGGAAACATCTCCCGTGAATAAATAATTAATAAGTACGGGAGATGTTCCCGATGTATGGTAGGATGTACATGTGAGGCGCCAGGTGTGAGGAGCATATCCGGTCTCTTCTTGAAAACCGTATGCATCGTACAATTCTGATATTTTTCTGTGTCCTCTTTGGATCACTGAAAAGCAACTTATTGAAGGCAGGGTTCTTTGTAGTTTCAATTTTCAAACAATTAATATCATACCACCGTCCGCATCAAGGTTTTTAAAACCGGACCCGAGGGGACTGGTTCCCAACCATTCGATCTGAACAAATGATCCATTCTGATAAAAAATAAAACAAAAAAAAAAAGTCAAAAACTGTTGTTGAGTCGACAGTTCAACCACCTAAGTTAGTAATTCGCTGTCAACAGTTTTTGCCAAAAAACGGTTTTGGGGTCAAATGGACCATTCCCAGTTTTCAGGTCCAACCATCCAGTCCAGTCCGGCTTTAAAAGCACTGATTCGGATAATACCACCTTTGGGAGAGCTTCTGCGTTTGGAGTGAACTATTATTACAAAGAAGCGGCTCATCTTGAGCAGTGAGCACCCATGTTCCAGACATTTTAATCGCTCAAGTAGCGTTTGGAAGTTTGATTTGGGCTTTTCGGATTTTCACAAATTCATTTTTTCGGATGGGGACTAGCTCCGAATGCCAGAAGCTGTATGCCGAAAGCCCTCCCAAACAGACCCTTAAGACATTGCTGCTTTCTTGCTAAATATCACCATGCATCTATTGCATAGATTGGTTGTATGATCCAAAATAAAAGATTTTAATTAATGGAGCAGACCACTAGAATTAATAGCTAATTGAGTCAAATTTAGAGGTTGTTGGAGATTCTCAAGTGGGATCCCACTGGAATTCACATTCAACTATACATCATTCTTGTAGTCTTATTTTAATCAGTAGGTTTAAATTCTGCAACATGAGTTGGAGATAACACTTCTGTGAGATTCAACTAAAAAGATCACATGATCATAACCATGTTTGGACAGATTTAAGTATTCTGATATGTGTTTTATTTATTTGTTAGTTGTCTGCTTGTCTACTGTTCTGGGTATTGTGTTTGGAGAGTCAAGAGTTAGCTTGGGTTGGGCAGACCAACCAGATCTATTGTATTCACAAAATCACATACAGGGTGATATAAATGTTTGGTACACAATTTAGATATTCATGTCAAATATTTTAAAGGGTTTATGTTTAATATTTTTTCAATAAATTAACAGCTTATGTTTGAAGGGGTAGGTACAGATAGGTGGTGAGAGAGAGAGATTAAATGACAGAAAGTCCAAAAGGATTTTTGATCTCATAAAAAAGCAATATATAATTCTATGAGGGCAATGGCATCCCTTGATTCGACTCGATGTTTTTAAACGATTTTGACTTTGAACCCATGGTTTTTAAAAACGAACCGAGGACTGAACCGGTCAGGGGTCCAGTTATCGGTTCGAACAGTCCGACCGAACAGTCAGTCTGTTTTGACAAAAAAAATAAAAAATTTGAAAAATAGTCAAAATCGTTTAAGCGGTTCGAACAATTAATCAGCCGATTCAGTAGTTTGCTGACCAAAATCAACGATTTTGAAAAAAAAAAAACAGTTTTGAGATAAAACAGAACCGATCAAATGACTGATTCCTGGTTTTTCCGGTCCAACCATCCGGTCCGGTCCAGTTTTGAAAACAGTGGTTGAACCAATAACCTGGTGAAACGAGCAAACTGAGCGAGTCCAAGGTTTTTGATGGTTTTGATTGGATCAATGAGCTAAGTGGGCTATCTCCAATCAAACTTGCCACCCAGGTTTTCAAAGGTTAATACTTATACCTCCCATAGATTTTTTGTTAAATACTGAGACCTTATGTTAGCTCTACCTATTAACTTACTACCCTTCGTAGATTTTTGTCCCTTTAGGTTGTGTTTGGTTTTGAAAGGTTAACCAAACACAACCTTGGAGCCTCTAAATGTCCCTTCAGATTGTGTTTGGTTTGAAAGAAAAATAGGAAAAGGAAGGGAAACATATAGATTGATATTCAAGGCTAATGAAACTAACAAATTAATGGGGATCAAAATTGTGAATATTGGGTTTTGTTACCCATGGGTTGATACTATCCAAAACAACTCGGGCCATGCCAGGCCTAGCCTTAGAACCCGTGCCATGCCGGGCTGGTTGTTTTGAGGCCCACGAGTCTATACGACATGACCCGAATAATTGGACAGTGTTGATACTACCCGTAAACCAGCACGACATGTCTTAAACACTTAGAGGCTTCAAAATGTCCCTTTAGGTTGTGTTTGGTTTGAAGAAAAAGTAAAAAAAGGAAAGGAAATATATAGGTTTCCCTACCTTTTCCTTCAAACCAAACATAACCTTAAGAGTTTCATTTATCAACATGGGAAATTTGACCAAGGAAAAATGCACACCTTGATAACCGGCACTAGTCCTTTGTAAAACCTAATGATGATTTGAGAACCCAAAGGAAATAATCACAATCTAAAACATCATATGCCTAAGAAAATATCTCATTTAATAGCAATAAGGCCCCTCTTGGGCCACAATTACATTGTCCCATTGCCTAAAATGTTTCAACTATTGTACAATTGGGGATCTCAGGTATTAGAGTTATAAAAGGATGATTTATTGGTCCCCCTACATTTTTCTTTTTTTTTTAATTTCTAGAAAACTCCAGTACATAATCATAAATGGTCACCCCCATTATTTTACAAAATTTTCGATAGACTAAAGTAGGAATGGTATAGGCCCAGGGCTTTTAATGATCCAGTTGACATCACCACTTCTTTCACCACTCCTATCTAATTTCTTCTCAACTCTGCCCATTATCCCCCTCACCCAAATTAATTTCAATTAATTGTATTATATATATGAAATACTACTTAAAACACATCCGTCAATCCATTTATACATGTATGAAAATACAAAAATGAAAAAATATATATAAATTTTGTAAAAAAAAAACATTTAAACACATATAATATCATATATTTATCATATTAAACAAAAAATAAGTATGACATATTAGAATTATTTTTATATGCATAAATACAAAAAAGTTATAAAAATTTTGAACACATTTATAATTCTATATTTACACTACTATTAAAAACATGAATATGATTGTGAAACTTTATTTTGACTAAAATACTCATTTTTTAACTTGTTCATATTTAATTATAAAGTTTAAATTATAAATTAAACTACAACTTTTCACCCCATTCAATTCTCTCTATTTAAAATTTATATTTTTTATAAATAAATAAAAAAGTTATACAAAAAAGATTAAATATTATAAAAAAAAATCTAACCAAACAAGTAAACCTATCAATGATACTTGAAAATTTACAACTCGATTTGATTATCACATATTTGGATGAGGTGTTTATGTAATCGAATTTGTATTTTCAATATGCATCCGATTAATAATAAAAACAAATATATATATATATATAAATAAAAAATAAAAAATAAAAAATACATAAAACTTATAAAAAATTTAGATACATTATTACTATCATTTTCATCATCTAAAATTATCACGTGCAAAACACGTGCACACTTATTAGTATTGACAAATATACAAATCGATTCTTCTATTGATTTTCTTGGTTTGTTCCACTGTGGTTTGTCATTTTGAATTGTTCTCTTAGGCCTTCATTTTGTCTCATTTTCTATTATAAGCAGAATAGCCATATGCCCTGATTTCCTTTCTCCCATTATAGCACATCTCCCCTGCAGCATGGATTTTCATATGAAACAAGGATTCTAAAACCCGAGCATGGATTTTCACATGAAATAAGAACTTTAAAACCGGACTGGACAGAGAACCATTCTGAAGACCGGTTTCCAAGTCTAATTTGAATGGATGGCCCATTCTGACTTAAAAAAAAAACAGTCAAAAACCATTGTCCGAATAAAGAATTCAATGGTTCGATTGCCTAGGTCAACAAGCCGCCGACTAAATCAATGGTTTTTGGTCAAAAAACAATTTTAAGGTGAAACGAATCCAGTTGCCTAAACGGTTCCCAAGTTTTTTGGTCTAACCATCCGGTCCAATTGGTTTTGAAAAACCACGATATGAAAGATGGCTTTTATGTGGCATTTTTTATACTTAAAACACATTACCAAACAGGCCCTAAGTTTTCTTAAATTCTATATTTTAAGGATGATTTATTAAACATCTTTTATTAAATTTTGTTAAATAAAATCTCTCTCATCGAGACTTGTGTGGTGCTTAAAATTAGGGGTGCTAAAATTAGAGGTGCCAATGGACCGGTTTTGGATTGGAGCACTTAGCATTTGTTATTCTAAAGACTTATCTCCTTTTTGTAGATAAAAACTCAATGTTCACAAATGCATTTTAACATAAATTCCAAATGCAGCCTTAATGGTATACAACTATCAATGAACAAGATTTCGATTGAAACCAATCTAAATTAAAACCAATTAGAACAGATTAAATGGTCCAAACATTAAATTAAACTGGTCCAAATAATCTAAAGTTTTCATCCGATTGAATTAGACTTATCCATCTGTAATGAATTCATATTAAACCAAATCAGATTAGACAAAATCCGGCCCAGTAGACACCTCTACCTAAAATCAATATTCCATTAAGCTAAGAAGAACCAAGACATAGCGCTTCATAATAATAATATAAAAAAAAACTAAGAAATTAAAGCAATATCCTATCCATGAGCTACATGATATTTATATATTTATACAGTGGAAAAAAAAGTTAAAAAACTATGACTTTATTCCATTTCTTGTCCAGTCAAGCCTAATTAGGAATGGGTGCTTAGATTTCCTCAAACAACCCCAGAAGCAGCAGCAGTATCCACTGGCTTGCAATCCGTCTCCCTCAGCTTTGTCATTAGCCCTTTGCCTGCACCATTGGCCAATGGATGAATCCCTTGCTTAGGTCCTGCCATGTAAGCTCTGTTCTCGCTCTCTGTTTTGAAACATATCCCGAAACGCTTCTCTATGTCTGCACCTTATACCAAGTATGTGTTTGATATAGCTTCGGTTTATTAAATAAATGTTTATATTTAATTTGTTCTTAAATTCGAGAAAAATACTTAATAAATCATTTATTAATAATTAAGTACCATTAAATGCCATTAGACGCTACATCAACAAAATAGTAAATAAAGGCTCAACCATTGAAACCATTGTTTTCAAAATCAGATCGGACTGGACGTTCAGATAGAAAAAACCGGGAACCGGTCGAATGATCGGTTTCAATTTTCCCCAAAACCAGATTTTCTTCAAAAACCGTTAATTTTGGTCAACAAGCCGCTGACCTGGGCAGTTAACCATTCGAACCACTCAAACGGTTTTGACCATTTTTTATTTTATTTTTATTTTTTGTTAGAATGGACTGACTGTTCGGTTCGAATGGTCAGACCTTTCGACTCAGTAAATGAACCCCTGACCAGTTTAGTCTCTGAATCAGTTTTGAAAACCATGATTGAGATGATTGATATACACTTAAATCAAGACCAACTTTTATAAACATAACACCATTATCAAATAAACGAAATCCATACAAAACACCACCCAAATCAAAACATATAAAAAATTCAGGTCGTTATCAAATTTCTTTATTTGTTTTTAAAAATTCCACAAAAAATAATATTACACTAATATTATATAAAGCAATCACTTACGCATCCAATGCATAAAATTGAATCACAAATTTACTACCATCATTGTCTAACACTAATTCATTTTTAGATATTCATCTTTCCTTTCACATGTGCATTAACATGTGGGCTTAAACTAATATATATTTATATTATATTCATATATTTATATAATATTTGGCCAGACTTCAACCTTTAACCCAATCCAAAGTTAAGTTAGATTAATACTTTTCAATCCTAACATAATCCAAAGTTTAATCTGATGCAACCCAATTCAGCTTTCTGGTTTTGGGTTAACTGGCACAATTGCAAGGTGATCATTTTCAACCCGGTCCAAACCCAAAAACTTAAGGCCCATACTGCAATATATTATTTATATATTAAATATACTAAATATTAAATTTCAAAATTGTATATAAATATCATAAAATTGCACATATAATGTATAATATTTGATATTATGCCAAGCACCGCTGGGGTCCTACCGTCCAGTTCGTCCGACCCAAGCCAAGACTATATAAAAAGGGATTATAGCTGATAGGAACGTATCGGTTGTTTCAATATTTGTTTTTTTATTTTTTTTCAAAACTGGTTCAGCAGAACCGGTCTAAGACCCCTCCATCCCCTAAACCGGTTAGACCCCAATACACCCACTGTAGGGGCATATCGAAAGAGTCCCAAAACGATATATATCAACCGATGCAGATCAATACGTAACGATACTTTGAACCTTACCTAATATCAATAAAAATAATCCTCTTAATATAATTTCTAAAATAGGTTAATTTTTTAAAAAAATATATTAAACAAGGGCAAAAACAATATTCATCTTCTTCCTCCTCCAAACCACATACGCCACAGCCCCACAAACCTCAATGACCACCATTTACCAACACCGCCACCGCCTCCGCCCACCTCCGACAATACCAATTTGTCGGTACGGCTCTATTACACCAATCTTGGGGCTAGAGCTGGAAAGTCAAGAGTCAGGAGGATATATAGTTCAAAAAGACTCTACATGATGAAGAAGAAGATTGTGGGGTTGGGACGAAGGTCAATCCAGAAATCTTCATCTTCTTGGTCATTGAAGCGGACGGAGGTGGGCAGCGTTGGCGTTAGTGGGCAAGGGCGGAGGTGGGCGGCAATAGGTGATAGTGGTGGATAGTGGTAATTGAAGTTCGCAAGTTAAGGTAAAAGTGGTTTAGAAGAGGAAGAAACTTTGGAAATTATATTAAAAAAATTATTTTTATTGATAGTAGATAGGGTTGTTCACGGGTCGGGTTGGGTCGGTTTACTGCGGTTTTTCCAACCGACCCGACCTGATCGGGTTACCTGACATAGAAACCGAAATCGACCCAGTGTTAAACAAAACCGACCTGGTCGATTTGAGTCGAGTTGGATTTGGGTCGGTTTCGGTTCTAAGTTCATCCCATCCCTGTGATAAAATCTTGTTAATTTTAAAAACAAGTCATAAATTGAACATCATTTCAGCATCTCCTATGATAAAATTTAAATAAAAAATTAATCACAAAAATTATTCATTAATCACTATTCACTAATCCAAAATTTCTTAACCATACTAGATGGCCTAATGGGCTTTGGAACTTCGGTTCAGTTCAAGTCGGTTTTGATTTTCGGCCCGAATCATCGATTTAGAAATTTGCCCTAATAGTAGGGCCCAAAAGTTGCCTTTATCAACTACAAGTTCTTAAGCCTAATCACCCCCATTCCCAAGTTCTCACCACCAACTCCACCTAAGACTCTATGTCTAGGTGGAGATCAGACCAATGGCCTGGTTAGATCAGGTCGAAATCAGCCCTAACCCAACCACAAAACCAAATTGTTGAACCCTCGTTCCTAACCCTAAACATAGGGTTGGATTAGACTTGGGGTCAGGGTCATATTTTTCCACCCTGACTAACGGTTAACCCTAATCGCATCTTAAAACCAACCAACCTAACTTTTTCAGTTGGTTACATAGCCGATTCATTATCAAAAACACAAATCGGACTTTTAACTGGGTTGGAATCGGGTCGGGTCATTTTTTCAAATCATTTTACTAAAACGTTCTTATGTCTAAGATTAACATATATTTCTAACATGATTGGTAAAGGCCCCAACACTATAAGATCATGTTCATATTTTAGCCTGGCCCGGATTTCAACCTGACCCGATCCAAAAAATTTCCGGGTTGTATTCGGGCAAATTGTTGAGGCCAAGACTATATAGACTAATAATGGGGTGACGTAGGTACCTTGGGCAAGGCTATCGTAGAGCTGGCCATCTCTGGTTAGAGACATCATCAGCTGGGGCAAACCCAGAGGAAGCTCGTCGCCCTTGTCCACCTGCCAAAAGTGAAAGGTCTTACCGTAGGTGCCGGTCACCGTTTCAAGCGCCTTTCTCTGCACCGGACCAGGAACGCCGGGGAAGAACAGCACCCCACTTTTCACCTCGTACTCATGCGAGTGCCACAGCGGCTTCTCCTCGTCCGGCAGCGCCAGGAACAAGTTTTCCGATATCATGTATTCGACGCCGATGAGTCGGCCTTCTGCGTCGGGCTTGTCATAGATGAGGCACTGCCGCATCTCCTCGTTCTGGTGAGAACAGAAGTGGTGGGATTCCACCTGACGAGTCATGTCGTACGCATAGAAATGAAACCTGCGAATTAATTAAACAGGCCAATTAACCACTGGAATCATCAGAACCAAAAGAAGGAAGCAAGGAAAAGAATTAATACAGGAAGATAGAAGTGAGACTTACGCGCATTGATGTTCGTGGATTTTGTTGATGGGTGCAAAGGATTGGATGGCGCCGGTGGCTGTCTCCAGCAAGGCCGTGCCGGTTTGAGTTGGTTCGCCGGGGACGTTCGGGCGAGTCGTCATTATTAATGTTCTCTCTTTAATTCTTCTTTACAGAGTGTTGTTACACTGAACTTCTCCTGCTGCTTCAGTTCTGTCCTTCCTTTAATAGCCAAAAGTGGTTCTCCATGCACTGTCACAACTGGCGCTGCTTGTCTCTGTGACTGTAACGTGGCTGGACACGTTACTGCATCTCGATCACTTTCTCATCCATGAATAGAACGAGAATTGTCTGGTTTTTTACTACATATATGATGCAGAGGATTGAGGTGAAAAAGTGAAAACTATCTTGACCTGGAATATCCATCATCTCTGAGCCAGGTAGATAATATGGACCCACTTGATTTCATTATTGTCTGGACTCTGGACTTCTATCAAACACGATCATACGCTAATCTTCCCGTTTCCTTCTGTAAGTAGCTAGTCGTTTATCTTCGTCTGACCAGCTTCAGCAATGGCGGGCATATATTGCAATGGCTCAATCACTATTATTTTCTTCCTATTTTTTGTTATCTAGCACCATGTACTATTTTTTTTTTCTTTCTTTGGGTCACTTTAATTATTCTAACGCTTGACTATTATACTATGATCTTCTGCATCATGTTAAAACAAAATACTCATGTCCTAACCTATCATCCATATATAGTTGCATGTTTATCTCATTGTATTATTACAAAATTGTTTGTAGCTTTTTGCCCGTGATTAGCATAGGCCCCTCCCATAAAATATTATCTAACATCTTTATCTTTCCACATATATATATATATATATATATATAGACATTTTCAATGATCTAAATAATATCATCTCCTAAAATTTCTAGTAAACTATCTCCTCCATTATTCTCCATTTTTTCTTAAATTATCTCTAATATCTATTTATCATTTTTCCCACTTTTTATCTATATCTATCTAAATAAAGTTTGAATTAAAATTTTAAAATTATTTAAATATCCTAAAAATTATACAATAACTTTAAAATATTTATTAAAAACACAAAAAATAATTACAATTGATTTAATAATATTCATATTATTAACAATTTTATATTTTATACAATACATCACGAAATTATATACTGACAATAATATAAATTAGGGTTTTCCAGATTATTCAATTTAAATGTTATACAAATTTAACAGTAAAAAATAAAATATTATTTAAATATTTCAATAACTAAATATCTTAAATAACAAAATACTACAAATAGCTAAATGATCATATAAAAAAATATTTAATATTATGTGATAACGTCAATAGAAATAAAATTCAAATAACAAAAAAGTTTAAATATTTTATGTGTTATTTAAATATTCAAATAACTAAATATTCCAACTAACAAAATATAACATAACTAGATTTTAAATAGTTAAAATAATGAAATTATGTAATAAATTTAATTTTTTTTTAAACTGGAAAAATAATTATAACATAATATTCAAATTAATAATAATTTAATATTTTACAAAATTAATAACAAAATCATGTAATAATAGTTTAAATTATAATTTTATGGATTATTAAATTCAATAAATAATTGATATTTTCAAATTTAAATATAGACATTATTTAAATAACTAATTTCACTTATATTAATTAACAATATTAGAAAATAACTTTCAAAAAAAATAATACTTATTAATAATAATTTTAAAATCATGATCTATATTTATTATATATTAATATATACTAAATTTAATATTTATTCTATTTTAATCAATTATTTATTGATTTTGTGATAAATATATTTTCAATTATTATGTATAAATCTATTTTTTTTTTTATTTAACAGAAACTTTTCAATAATTTTTTGAGGTTAAACTACTATTGTTTAACTTTTGAAGTTTAATTTATTGTACTTATTGTATTTTTATTATAATTTATTGATTAATATTTATTAGAGATTAAACTATTATTTGATATTACACTATTTATTGACTAATTTAACATATTTTTAGCATTTATTGTATTTTAATTATCAATATATTTTCAATAATTGTGTATTTTGCAAATAAAATTTCAATAATTATTGGAGATTAAACTATTATTATTTATTAGAGATGTATTAAACTATTAATTTAGTTGGAATTAAGAGTGTTAATGGATTGGTTTTGTTTGGTTGTAGGTTGTTTGGCCAACCAAATCAACCTGGCCAAGTTGGGGGGTTGATCACCCAAAGCTAACTAACCATTAGTGAAAACTAGACAACTTGGGTTGTATCAATTTGGGTCATTTTTTTTGGTTTGGTTGGTTGGTTCAAAAGATTTAAACTTAAAATTTAAATTTAAATTTAAAAATTACAGTAGTATTATTAAAAAACAAAATAAAAAAAATTAAATTTATGATATAAAATATTTTACAAAGAAATATGAGAATTTTTTCACTTTTGTATTAAAAATATAATATACGGTTAGGTCGTTTGTATTTGGTCGATTTACAAATGGCTAAAGCAAAACTGATCCAACCTGGTCAAGTTGGGAAATTGTTGAACTAAAGTTGAAATGGAAATACTAAAAGACCGACCAACTCAGTTCAAGTTAGTCAGGTCAGTCGATTTCATCAATTTGATGAACAACCCTAGATGAAATTAATTATTATTATTTTTGTATTGTAAAAAAAATTATTAAAAATAGTATATAAAATATAAGGGAAAATCTATGATGTGGGAAAGATATGGTACCTGAAGAGTTTTCATCAATCAAAATCCACCCATGAATTTTGATAAATAACACTTGATTGGCTACCACATTTATGATACTAGTTGATTGATCAAAAAATTTTCAGATATCATATCTTTCACATATCATAGTTGAACCCAAAATATAAATAAGAATTAATTATTTAAAAATTAAAAGTATAAAACAATTATATACTCTTATGTGTTTTTATTGTTTAGCCAACTTAATAAATCTTGTGATGTAGATTTTAATTGCACTAGTGTAAATGCAAGGGACTAGAAATGGGCTGAGTGAATTGATGTGTGTCAATAGCATTTTGGAATGCATTGAAACTACTGGTTTCTCTCTTTTAATTAATGAAAATAAGGTAGGTAATATTAGGCTATGTAGACTGTCTTTGTCAAGGAAACCCACTATCCCCTTATCTATTTATCATGCACTATTAGAAAGATAATTTGTTCTTAAATCCAAAGAACTGGAAATAACGATTTCGAAGAAAGGAATCAAGGTGAACCATTTACGATTTGTTGATAATTTTATGATTTTCACTAACACCACTTTGACAGTAAGAGAGAGAGAGAGAGAGAGAGCATTAGGATGTCAGGTTAGAAAGTAAATTTCTAAAAAGCAGCTATTTATTTATTCTTTGATAATATTCATAGAATACACAAAAAATCAATTAGCCCATTGCATTGTTCATGCAATGGGTAGTTCATGGACATGGAGGTGTCATAAATCGAGTACATATATCCTAAATTTTAAATATAAACCCTAAACTTATAAACCCAAACCCTAAATCCCTAAATCCCTAAATCCCTAAACCCCTAAATCGTTAAATCTTTAAGCCCTAACCCCAAACACTAAATTTCAAGTGAAAAAATGCATTTGGTAGAACACAAGTACCCCAACCAAGTAAGAGACAATAATTCCTCTAGTAGGTTGTTGAGTTTGTTGTGGGTCTCACGTAAGCCTTAGAATCCATTTAGGGGAAGTTATTGTATGTGGTGTCGTAGGGTTAGTGTGGAGTAAGTCTATTTTAGTCCAAGACTCCAAGTATCTAAAGTCATATTGTATAAAGTAGGCAACACTCATATTGCATAAAATCCATGTCTAAAACCAACTCAAAAATGACACCATTTGGCTTGGTTGGTTGAATTACTTACCCACTACCATGCTAAATAATGGTGTCATTTTGAGTTGATTTTAAAACATGGATTTTATATTGCAAAGATCTAATTGACATAATTTATTTGAAGCAAAAAAAAAAAAAGATAAAACTTATTAATGAGAAAAGTTAGCTTAAATATAGGATTTAATGTGAGAGAATGGGAATTAGTACCTTACATATAAAACTTAATGAGAAGCGGTTCAAATTACATATTTTGCCCTCACAATTAGAGAGGGGTCAAATCAAAAGATAAGGACATTTTAGTTAAGTTGAAAAGTAGTAATTCAAATTAAATAATAGGAGTTAATACCTTAAATACAGGACTTAATGAGAGGAAATTAAATAAGTTGAAAAGTAGTAATTCAAATTACACTTTATTCTTTCACTATTAGAGATGAACCAAATTTAAAAATAAAAGTATTTTAATCAAACAAAAGTTTCACTCTCATTCATACCTTTAACAGTAGCATTAATAAGGTACTTATATACTAATTAAAATAACAAATAATAATTTATGAAAATACCCAATTGTGGGGGCATTCCAAGGTTTTAGTTGCATTTGGTTGCAGTGCAAATTTCATTAAAACCAATGTAAATGTATAGAAGTGCAAATAGGCTGAATAATTTTAATTTACTTTTGTCTTGGATTTCACTTTGCCATATTTGTTTGTCCAAGAAAATAAAAGAAAAAAGAAATGCAACAGCGTAGTTCCACCTTATATGAAAGTGATTGAAATGAGGTAGGACGCTAAGAAGCAAGATAATGCAATTTCCACTTATACAAGAGAATTGAGGTAGGAGGAAGTTGGTGCAAATTTTGCATCAGTTTTAAGAATCAAATTTTACACTGCCAGCAAGTTTGTAATTGTGTAGGAGAGCATATCATAGTTACAAACAAACTCGGCCCAGCCATTGTGGTTGTGGGTTCAAATGCCATTGAAAACCAAAATTGAAATGATTACACTACAATAATAGCAAGGTATCAAACAATCCAAACACCCCATTAATAATAAGGGGTCCAGCCATGGCTCTTTTGGACCCAACCACTGAAGACTGCACCATCTTTCTCATCATCAACCCATTAAAATAATTACCAATCCGGCCCATCAAATAAAGAAAGCCCTCCAGCCCAGTTATACCCACCACCACCAGTGTAGAATTGTAGATCTATGAATCAAATCAGATCCAGAGAAACCCTAAAAAGATACCAGTGTACGTATTAATTATATATTCCATGGTCAAAACAGGAATTAAGGGAAAGAAGACTCATGAGTCATGACATGTGAAACGGAGATCCAAACAGACCTTCATTTTCCCATTGGCGATGATACGTTTTCCTTTCTTTATGTCTACATAGCGCCATTATAAGAAACAAAAAGAAAAAGAAAAAAGAAAATTGAGGGGAGCTAAAGCCAAACGAGAGCAGGAAAAAGGGAAGAAAAAGCAGTGGGGCCTCCTTGGCTCCTTAGTGCTTCTCTCTTTTCCACTCTGGGCACCATCCACCGTTGATTTAGCATTTTTCATCAGGTATATACGGTCGATGATTCTTCATCGACGACCCACGCTACTCGTATTTACAAACATCACACAAAAACAAAAAGCAAAAACAAAAAGACCAACTCTTTTTTGCTTCTTTTTTAAGTTTGAAGTTGGGCTCTTCTCTGGGCTTGGGCCTTTCACCTTTTTTTATGCCTCTTCCACCACCGTACGTTTATTCCCTTCACTCGTTCTACCTGCAAAAGAAAATCAAACTCGGACGAGTCAGATCGCTACTCAGATTATACGCAGCACAAATGCTCAGACTATGAGTCATGAGACTACGAATCTACGATCACATCACAACAGGCAAAAGGGAAGAAGTGCATTGCCCAGTTGAGAACGATTCCAGTCGAACAGCCGACTCGTTATCGTTAAGACCACCGACAAAACGAGTTTACCGACCCGTTATCTGGCTTACCATTTCGACAGGCAAAGCAAAGTTTCGAATCCGGATTTCAGGGAAACAGCCAGCAAATGGGAATTACTCAAATTGACTCGGAAATACCCGAATCGTCGATAACATTGAATACATTTTTTATAGTTACCTATAACAGGGGCCGACTCGCCCTGCTTCCGAGTCAAATCGGCTTCATCATGAACCCAACCAGATAGTCGAGGAGCAAAATGGAGCAAGAAAAATGGCCACAATAGAGAAAAAGAGTGAGTGTGTATGTGTTAATTACCTGGGGCTTGCGTTAGTCCCGGAAAATGACGGTGTCGGCGATTTCCAATAATGGATTCAGACAGTCCGGCAAGAACTTCCGAGCAAACAAATAGGAATAAGTCGAATTGGAGACACGGAGCTTATAAATTAGCTCAGGCGATATTTCGGCTGGCCGATACGTATGTGGGTGTCCGCCGGTACTGCCAGTCCAGTTCACTCTTGTGAGCGTGAAGTGGCTGCAACCCTTTGGATCCGCCATTGAAAGCAGAGTTGGGAAGTAATGTTCCTCCGGGTAACACGACTCGGTCTTCAGACACGGAAGTCTGAACTTCCTCCACAGCTTCCGATCCCTGATCACCAACAAGGCGTGCCGCCTCGTAAGCACGAAGAACTGAGACCCAACTCGGAATTGCTCAAAGGGTACCTCTGGCATCATCACGTCTCTCCCTCTCGCCGTGTATCTCTCCCATAGACCGGGCTCTTTCGATAGTATTTCGATGAAGCTTGGATACCTCGGTTGATCGTACCGAGTCGAGGAGGTGTCCGAATCGGCGGAGGATGACTCGACGGGAGCGGAAGCAAAGAGGGAGTGGTAGACGAAGCGGAAGGAGTGAAGTGGGATGCAGTGCTGAGACACCAAAGCGAAGAAGGAATTGGCGGGATCGTCGAGCAGAGCGGTGGCGAGGAGACGACGGGCAGCAGAGATTAGAGTGGGGGAGGCGCGCTGGGTCTTCTTCCCAGCGATGAATCGGCCTTCGAAAACTCCGCCGGGAGGATTCAATTTGATAGATGGGTCGGCGTGGATGTAGATGTTGAAGAGATTGTGGTTGCCATTGAAGAACTTCTCCCAGAGAGGAGCGAAGAAGAGGTCGGAGTTGGTGAGGAACAAGAAGGCGATCTTGGGCGGAGGATTGGTGGTGCCCAGATGAGAAAAAGTGAACGCGGAGGAAGAGGAAGAATGTGAGGCGGAGTCGGCGAGAGAAGCTCGGCGGAAGAGCGCAAGATCGTCGAGTTCGTCAGGGAGAGAGATCGGGAGGTGCCGGGGAGGGAGGATTCGAGGGGCGAGAAGGAACAGCAGAGGTAGGGAGAGTAAGAGAGCAAATGATAGAACAAATGGGGATGAAAACATGGTCAGATAGAAATCTGAGAGAGGAACTGAATGAACAGAGACAAATGGGGATCTCTTTTACAGGGTTTCTCAGAACGACATTAGAAAGAAATGGAGGGATTGGGGTTTGCAGTTTGCTTGCTTTTTCCCCTTCTCGTTTTTGTTATTTTCCTCAGTTTCTGAACCAAGGGAGATCAAGGGTTTTTGTAGAAAAGAAAAAATAAATAAAGATAAGACATGTACATAAAAAAAGGAAATAAAATAAATAACCGATATCAAAATAGGGAGAGAAAGAGAGAGATTAGACCTTAGGGTTGATGAGAGCACAAGGAAATAGAATAAGGGTTTGTTTGTTTGTTTGTTCTCTCTCCATTTTTTTCAACTTAATTTAATTGGGTTTCTTCTTTTGCTTTCTTATATTAATTTGGAGGGGCATTGAGAAGAAGTGATAGAAAAGCAAACAGGGTGGGGTGTGTTGGGTGTTTAGTAGCTCTGTTTTGGAATTAAAAGAAGGGACGGAGTGATGGAGGAGGAGAGAGAATGAAAGGAGAGGTAACTTGGTAACTTGGTAAGAGACAAGAGGAGGTGTTGACGGATTGAGGTGTGGGACCTGATGCCTTCCTATTTAGGGTTAACGGCGTTAGTTGGGGTGTTTGAATGTTTGTTACTTATCAGCTCATCTTGACACTTTGATCTAACTCTCTAGTTGCCGTCACTCACGCCGTCAGATGGAGTAAGTAGGCCAAGGAAATGCTTGTGCATTGAGATTGAGGCATCAAACACCATATCTGCATCCAATTATCAGCATAGAGATGGAGACATTATCCTTTTGTTTTGTTTGTATGCAGAGAGAGAGAGAGGGGGGTTCAAGTAAATGGAATAAGTTCACTGCACTTTAGAGCAAAAATATCACTAGGATCCCTAGCCTATTCTCCTAGGATTCTCTGCTTTTCCCACAAAGTGCACTGTGCGTATTTTAGCACAAAAAAAAAATCACTAGTCGTTTTACATACAAGCAATGTTAGGGGATGCTTTAACAAAGCACCTGGTGTGTATCACAAATTCACAAACACAGACAGAGAGCCCATTTGTCTCCCATCAGATAAGAGTTGAGCAAAAGTGGGTGAGATACACCACCCACCAAGGCACCAATCCACCAGCATCCGGCCAGGTGCCCAGTAGCATCAGCTCTGCCTCTTTTATTTACTTCTTTTCTGGGTTAATAAATTTTCAGAAATGCTCCGCCGAATCTGACTATGACGAGTGTAGTGTAGATACACAAATATGCTTTCTAGCTAGTGGACACAAATTTGCTCCTTGGATTTGTTGTGGGATTTGCAGCGAAAGACCCACGCAGCTACGGTTTATTCTTTCAGAAGCTCGGTTCAACTGGGTCATGCCAATGTAAGGTACGTCCAGAAGAGAATCTCAGTGAGTCCAAGTGAGTCCAGAGCTCATATATCATGAATTCATGATCAAAGGGGGAAAAACTCTCAAGCAGGTGCTTTGGGCCTTTGGCATTGACCTACATGGTTGAACGCTTGAAACCTTGGGATGATCAACCGATAACTTGCCACGTTTCGCTTGCTCAAAGTAGCATGACACGCCATTGAATGGGCCCCATAAAGAGAGTCGCAAGTATTCTGAGAAATTCATTCACTGGTAGATCCTGATCTCTGGGCATGACACGTGGCAAGTAAATGGCCCTAAACACTGGAGGTCAGGTTCATGTTCTTGTGATACGATATATAGTTGGTTGAAAATCCAACAGCCATTGATTGGTAACGTAACAACTTAAATGCTACCTAATCTTGACAACCAATAGATCAAATCCACATGAATCAAGGGTCCGTATATGCAGAAGCAGGAAGTGTACACCTAAATCAACGGAAATTACTGAGACAAGTAGGGTTTGGATGGTATTAGATGAGGCATGTGAGGTCAACACTTTAACTGACACTCATCAATACATGATAAAGGTTCTGAAACTGGGCAATAAACAGATAAATGCTACATCAATACATCTTTTTCGGTTAAAAATAATAATTACAGTAGAATCCAACTCCCCCTATATTATTGTGGATTGAATGAAAAACAAACCTGTCTCCTCAACACTGCTGCTACAGTGATATCACCTCACCAAGTATAAGAAATGAAACACTATGGCACCTCGCAGCTAGAAGAACCCCCATTATATATACACAAACCAAGACAGCAACAGTTGATCCTCCTGTTGGTACCTTGATTTTTTGAATATAACACCTTCGAAGTGAGTATTCAAATCTGCAATTCAACTCCCTGCGGAACAGCACTTGTGGGGTTTGAGTTATGCCTTCCCTTAAGCCTTGAGTTTTCCTTGATGGTATTTTGTGCCACAGGTGTTCTGCCCAGGGCAGATCTACTTGGACGTCTGGCTGTTTCTGGTCCAAGACCTGTTAGTGGTGCCACCAAATCAAGTAAACAAACAATAAAAAAAAAAAGGGAACCATGATTCTGGTTTAATCATTAGTCTGCAACATTTAAACAACTGCAATCATCTGCATAGATGAGTGCAGGTTGTTGTAGTTCAAACCAAGGCTTCACAAACAAATGTGAACTCATAAAAGGCTTCTTCCATCGGGGGACAGAAAAATACCAATCAAGTTGACCATCAGCTAATCACAGTATTAGAAATCAGAAAATTTCTATATCTTTTAATTCGTTCTGTACCTTTTAGACAGTAGTTGATCAAGACTACAATCAGTCTTGAATTCGAAAGCAAAAATAAAGATTTCAGAAGGAAAGAAGAAGAAGAGAGGGAGAAAAGAAGAAGCACACAAAGGGTTTTTAGAAAAGAGAGGGTCGATCATAATGATCTGCCGACCCACTCTTAATATTTATATATGTTGACTAATTGTAAAAGGGCTGAATTGCCCTTATTGCTTACATGGCAAATAAACTAATAAAAAAGCTAAAATAACAAGCTGTAACAACAAACTGAAATAACTACCAACTAACACTGACACAACTAACAAAAAACATATGCTATGCTGCCATACGAACACAGTGGGGACCACAGCAGTGGGGTCCACATCAGTGTTCTCTACATAGACCAGTTGAGCCATATAGGACCAATCTGGAGGTGAAAAGCCCAAGGCTAGATTCCCCATGGCCACTATTACTGCAGTCTAACTTAATGAAGTTGTTTTATACATGGAAGAATAAAGGACAAGGCAACCACAGAACAGATCATCCAGGTATAGAAGACTTACCACTGGATGGCAGGGACAAACGCTTCTTTGCCTGAGCATCTTGCTGTGTGGGTCTTTCCTTAGGATTGCTGTATGACCGTGGCCCAACCCCAGAAGGTTGTGAACTGGCTTCTTCAATTGGCTCCTCCTGAGGCGGCTTAGGCATCGGCTTTACTGATAGCATGTTGGATGTTGCTAGCAGACTAGTAGACTTGCTTGATGAAGATCCACTACCATCTGAGTGAGATGTAACTGTTTTCTGAATGTTTGATTGTAGGTTTGATGTGGTAAGTTTCTTCCCAGCAGATCTAAATTGGGTTTTGGTGCCATTCTTTCCATCTACTGATCCATTCTCATGGATGATCACTCCATCTCGGACATTAATGTCAAGGAATCGGTTCTCCCATGGTCGGACTGCCATCCATCTCTCCAACCAATTCCAACCCCAGTTGCTTTTATCAGGTTCAAACCCTGCAGGGGCTGACTGTTGCCTGGATCCTGCCTGCCACTGCAGAATGGGAGACATATCGACATCAGTGACAACCACAAAAAACAGCAGGATGAGATGCAAGGGCAAAGAATAGTAATCCAGATATTGAAAAATGGATGATCTTTATCATTTAGCTGGACATCCACCTAATCCGAAAACCAAATTCTTTCAATATAGTATAAAATGTAATGGTAAGATAAGATGGATGATGGAGAACCAATATCTGGAAAAACACACAATGATTGAGGGAAAAGAAAAGGCCTTTGAGAAATCAAGTAAATTACCAGACAAATAGTAGACAAGGACCAAGTCAGTGCTTTTTTCTGGCAAATAGTTGCTGTGCACGTAGAAGATGCTAGTTAGGATCTAACAATGGCTTGGAGAGCTTAAACCCATCTCCATATTCTTTTTACTCAAAAGAAATGGTGACAGTTTACTAGTAAGTAGTGTCCTATCCTTTATAGTTACCAATAAATACCCAGGCTGATCCATCAATACAAATAGCAAGGGATATTGCCCCCCCCCCAACCGGAGGTGAGAAGATCACATTGATCTATAGGTTATTCAAGTGCTGATGACTAAAGGGAATTAGACAGTTAATCAACAACTGAAGCTATGTCTTGAAAAGTCAAATGGCATAAGCTGGATTGTTCGAGTCTGGGTTCCCTGACATTCAATTTAAATGTTAAGAAGCGAAGTATATTCTGCAAAGAGGACACAGCAGAAGACATCATATCTCCTTTAAATGGCACATGAATAAAGTTCAGTTAATTTCTCATAGCTTATATTATTAAGAATGGTGAGTAATCCTCAACGCCCCAAAGTGATTGTAGGCCCCCTGTTGAGTGATCCCATGTTATCTCCCTCTTTTTTCCCCTTCCATATTATATCTAATTCTGCAAGCAGCCATTGCAGACATCAACAGAGCAAAAATTCTTCATTAAAGGAGTTCATTCAACATCTCTAAATGATTTAAACTGATCCATGTACATTGTTTCTTTAGTTTACATCAAAACCCAAATTTTCCCCATTTTAGTCTGATTGCTCTTATATTGAAGGTTTAAAATGTCAGAGTTGATGGAAATGTCAGTCATCCTAACATAAGAAACATGCCAGAAATGTTGTATGAAGATACTGTTAAAATTATAGACATGGTGGAAACATTTTGGAATGGAATGTGGAAATATACAATGACACTTTATGAAATGATAAAAGAGCCTTAGGTCATACACAGAGAAGACCAATCTACAGCACCAGTAAGATGAAATGATCAGTTTCAAGTTGAGGGGACTAGAAGAGCTAGGAGCGGACTAAAAAGGACAGGGGTTGAAGTAGTAAGAAATCACTTAGGGGCTCATGAATATGTTGATTTTCTATATGTTAACATGAAATTTATACTTTTCTTATGAAAATTATGGATAATTATTAAGGAAATAAGGTTGCCAGTTATCATGGAACCCAAGGAACTACCCTAGGATTTATAACTTTTACTAAAAAAATCCATTGCCTAAGCGACGCCTAGGCAACAAGGTGCCCCCTGTCACCTAGCCCCTTTCACGCCTTTGAAAACTATGCCATGATCGTACCTTATAACACCCCCACCCCACTGGCACCTGGGTTCCCACAGGAGGTTAGCAGCTAACCTTAGGAGTGTTAGCAGCTAATAGGTTGATATTAAGAATCTGAATTACCATTTTTTCCAGCATATTACACTCCTTGGGCATCAACTGCCACATGATTTCTTGCAGCCACTGAATGATCTTATATATAATAGACTGAGCAGGTTTTCTTTTAAAATGTTTAGCTTAAAATTAAAGTTTGCATTTTTTTAATTAATACCATTTTTTATATTTTCTTGATTTATTTTGATTTTTTTACATTTTTTGCCTTCCTTGAACTTTTAAAAATGTTGCAACTTACTTCATAAAGGCACAGCATCACGTTGCACCTTGGGCACAAAATGCCCTTTGCTCTTTTTTCTGCCTTGCGATTTTATAATACCATCTCATGTACTCCAACCATATAAGTAGTTTTCACTAGGGAATATGTTGATTCCAGTAATATTTCATGTCAGCACCCATGGAAACAGAAATATTCAGCATTTTAAACCATGCTTCTTAGTTTGTACTACGCTCTTTGACATTTCCTACAATATATTAGCCAAACACTTCTGGAATTTAAATGCTGGCACAACCAGTGCTTTCAGCCCATTGTTGACCCAGATGATTGGACCACTAAACCAATAAAAAATCCTGGTTCAGGTTAACCTCTAACCTTTAACCAATCAAAAGCACAACCAGTGCTTTCAGCCCATTTGGGGAAACATTATGATGCTCTAACCTTTAACCAATCAAAAGCACAACCAGTGCTTTCAGCCCATTTGGGGAAACATTATGATGCTTTATTCTGGTTGGTGTAGGGGATTCCACTTGAGCAGAGTTGAAGGCTGTTCTGGTATGGTTGAGGAAGGCTAAAGCCATGAGGTTCAGAGTTCAGAAATCTAATATATGGCAGAAGAGAGGTTCATGGTGGCAGGTCGCTGGAGAAGGGCACTGAAGGTGGAAGCAAAAGAGTTTTTGTTCAAAGAATGGAGATCTAGAATGTTGGGTTTGAAGATTAGGAAGCTAAGAAGGCTACTGTGATATTGGAAGGTGTTGGAGTGATCAAATGGTTCAAGGACTTTGTACTTGGAGCAAGTCTCAAAGGGAAGCAAAAAAACTGGAAAGAATTTGGCACTGAAGAAGGAAAGAGGTATGTCTTAGAATGCAAAAGGAATATTAAAGGATCATATGTAGTTTTGCTGGAATATTTTATAAAGGGTAAGAAGCAGCTTGTTTGCTTCCCTGAAGGAAGACAGGGCCATGGTTGGAGGAAAGTTACTGGAATGCTTACTGAGTTATTGCAATGCCTGACAAATGCACAAGCAGAGGTCACAACAGAGATGAAAGAGATTGAAGAAAACAGTAGTAAAACTAAAGATCTAGGACAAGAGATAATTGTTATGGTGAAGACTAATGAGCACTGTAAGATGGCTGGTTTCTCAAGGAGGGAAGAATGGGAGAGTAAGCACCAAGCTAAAAACCAGGTCAGTGACTGGAGGAGAGTTGCAGACTTGGTGATACGAAAATTGAAATTGATAGGCACTTTTGTTGTAACCCCTTTTGATAGCTGTAAGGCATTGCTGGATTTGGTTGAAGATAGATTAGACCTTTCTGCAACTACCATTCAATCAGCACTCAATCAGATCTTGGAATATTCACAATTTTCAGAGGGTGTCCCCTGTCCAACTCTAAAGACTTTTCTGTTGTAGATGATGTGCTTGTACGTATTTTGGGTTTGCTTTTCCACCCATGGAGGCAAGAAGAGGCTGAATCCAAGCCCAGTTGTGTGGAGGGCATCTCACTGGTGCTCTTTCTGGTGGATCTCCTCTCGGCTGCTATATTATTAAGTGGAGTAAGGCCAGAAGATCTGCCAAGAAAAATAGACTTAAGAGTGTAGGATTGCTTATACTCGACATAGCTGGCTTCCTCCATAGAAGCAGGCTTGTGGAAGGAGGATGAAAGGGTGGAAGAAGAAGCATTGCATGGCCCAAGGGGATTGGAGATTTCAAATGGGAATGGAAGTTTCACCAAAAAGGGTAAACAGGAACTGAAGGGACTGGAAGGTTTGATGCAGATGGAAGATCAAAAGAGTGGTGAACAAGGAAACAGGTTGGTGTGTAGCAGGTCTTATGAGGTGGTCAAAGGTGGCAACTATTGAAGGGATGGGATATCCATCACATGGACGCCCAAGTCTTGCGGAATGGATAGGGCGAAGTTCAAAAAATTTCTCCCATCTTTGCAGGGAATCGAATTCCCTATATTTGAAAAACATGTTTTTCAATGATCAATCTTGAATCAAGAACCAAACCAGATCTGAACCAAA